TTCAGTGCTGAACGGTGCCATCAGGGATTACGTTATGTTTGGAAAAATCTTGACTTGTATTAAGGTAGCTAGCTATGGATGTCTCATTAGAAGAGATCTACAGATAAGCTTGCAGTAAGTGTAGAAACAGCAAGAGAATACCTCCCTACTCTAGGCCAGAGTAAGGGAGAGCACATTTAAGACTTAGCAGTCAGAGTCACTTCTTATCACCGTTCCTACTAAATAAAAGAAACTCTTCTATGCAGGCACAAAGGATCAAAATTCAATACATGTCTCCAACAGCTCAGAGGTCAAGACTTCAGCAGACTGAGAAGTGCTGCTGTCAAGTGAAGGCTCAAAGCACTACAAGCACTTGTTTTGAGCTTTACAAGAGGCTCAGATAAGGTAAAAAACTTGGATTTAGGATGCGTGGCATATTCTCAAGGGCAGCCAGAAGGGCAGGAGAGCAAGCTTTAGGGTGAAACAGAATGAAGGGATGTTGCACTGAAATAAAGAAGAGGAGCTTCTGGTGGGTTGGCCATATCCAGAACTGAGCATCTCTACTTACTCCTTTTTATTTGCTGGCGCATGCTGCAGGAGATGTTTCTTTACATCCAATTCACTGAGCTTTTCATCCACTGCCACAAGCAACTTCTGAGCTTTGGCATCAACATCTCCCACATCCACACCTCCTTCATGGTGGAAGAGTACGTAGTCTCCCTCACGGGCAGCATATATGCACACATAGAACTCTTCCTCCTGCACAGATCCAGGCACAAACATCAGCAAGTCACACCCAGGGAAGACCTTGAAGAAGAGGCTCTTGTGTGAATGGTAGGAAAGGAGCAGCTGAGCACACTGCTGAGCTTTCCAAGGAGAAGCAGCAGGGCTCAGAGCACTTCATCCTGGTGAAACATGCCAGAGACACTTTCCATTTCTGGAGAAAACTGCTCCCATCTTGCACAACTGAAGTGCAAACCAGGGTCCACCCTTGTGTGCACCGAAAGCACCTGCATCCTAAGCAATTACACCCTTCCTGCAAACCACAGCAGAGCCCGAATATTTCACCAGCACAAACGGAGACATCTCACATCAACAGTTTGTTATCCACACTCGGGAGCACCAGACTCGAGGAGCAGAGAGCTGCCTTGACCAGCCTGGTGTCTCTGAGGTGACCTGTAACCTCCCAGCAGAGTAGGAGCAACCACCACGATTATCAGCAGCTCCTGGCGTGGACTGACGCTGTGCCTGCGGGCAGCTCTGACCACACGCGTGGCCACCGCCAGCTTGGCAGCACGCTGCCAAGGGTCTGCCTTCCCACTGCACCAGTCTAAGCTGCAGGCAAGTGAGGAGAGATTTAAAAGCATTTTCTAATGCTGTATTGGGTACACTAACCTGTTTGTGAGGCACGAAGGGTTCAATCAGAAAATTCTTTAGGATTCCCTTAGCATTAGCAATCTGTAGGCAGAAAACAAGATGAACACCAATAAATGCTTGTCCAATATCCACTTTCATGACAGTCTAAGGCAAGTTTTGAGAATTAATCAACACTGCTCTAAAAAAAAAAATCACTTCCTCCCAAGCACCTCTCCACTGTGTTTCCTGGGGAATCATACCGCTCCCTCCCCAGCACGGCATCGAGCACTGTCACTGATAGCCATGCTGCTGTACCACTCTGGGATGCCTGAACTTCACAGGTCACAGGAGTCAGGCACCTTCCCCTGTCCGAGCAGGACAGATGGCTATCCAAACTACAACAAAATGGCTCTTCTTCATCTCTTGTCCCGGAGGCAGCACCTTTACAGAGCACAGCTTAGTGCAGTGCCAAGTGTGGTGGCTTGAGCTTCTTCTCAGAGCTCTGAAAAACTCAGAGGTGAGGGAATGCCCGAGCTAGACAGGCAGTGGCAGGAGTAGAGGCCTCTGCCCAGCACTTGCCCTGGAAGTGGTGTCAGTGAGCATGGAAGAGAAGACCCTTTAGCCTCTTCCTACAAGGACCGATAGGTACAGCAAGGCCCCAGGAACCGTCCTGCTATCCAAAACCAAGTGTCCCAGTTCAAGAGACGCTGCTGCACAGGCCATGGGAGATACCCCCTGCTCCCAAGGACACTGCTTCAGGAGCGAGCATCACCGGTCACAAGCCCTTGGCACAGTCCTGCCTTTGGATGTGGCTGTTGTGTTGTGCTAAAGAAGCCATTCCAACATCCACGTGTTCCTCCGACGGGCTCGCACACCAGCTGCCGTTGCCTGCTGTTCCACAAGGGCCTCCAGGCAAGCCTCGCCGGCTCCGCTGCGCCGCTCCGTGCCGGAGCCAGCAGCGAACCCATCACAGCAGGGCCGAGGCATCGGTTTCCTTGACACATGAGATCTCTGCCAGCTCCTGCAGCACAGCAGCTGGGATGGCAGGCATTTCTTTATCATTGGCATTGCAGCATCGTTCCCAGGAGAATAAATATTCCAAGCCAGCACCGAGTTAAAATAAGGAGCTGAAGTAACACTCAGTCATCAGCCAAAACACGCTGGCTGGCTACAAGAAGAGGACAATTTTATGACAGCTTTTATGCTTGTTAAATCTGCTTTGGATATTAAAGTGAAGCAGCTATGCCAACTAGACAAAGCATTTGAGCCATCAACTGCTGACTCCTGAGTGGAAAGGATTTTCCAAAGGGTACTAATTCCAGCTGAGCTCCCACGGCACAGCCCTGCACAGCAGCCTTGGGCAGCGGATGGTCACGGGGAGGTCCGAGCTGTGCTCCCTATCGAGGTGTGTCATTTCCCAGCAGGAAGGTCACACTGGGACAGTTTCTCACTTGCTCTGGCACCAGCATAACACACGTTTTAAACCACCATAAGCAAGAGAAACGCCTGCGCAACAGCCCCCATCATGCAAGCAGGCAGAAAAGACAAAACAACAAAAAAATAATCTTATTTTTCTGTTGCTAAGGTGGCACTCACCGTGGTTTCTCGGCCCAGACGCTGTTTGAGCCAAACCTTCACCTGATCCAGAGTGAGGTTAATTCCAACCAGTCCAAGCTTCCCACGTCTCTTTATGAGCTGGTCTGGCTTCACCACTAAACGCTACGACGTTGTGCAAGAGGGATTAAAAGAAAGAAGCATTAGAAAGTCATTTTGGTGGAGCGATTCTCTGCAGATAGTGAAACAAAAACTTGAATTCTGTACAGCAAACATCCTTGCAGACTTTCTTTAATTTTCTGGCAAATTCATCTCCCAGTACAACACGCCTGCAGGTTTTTTTATGCTGTACTTTGAGAGGAGCCACCTTATTTCTACTCAGACATGAGTACACATCAGAGACTGAGGTGACAGTTTTGTTTTGGCTTTTTCTGACAAGCTGTGATAACTCTTTCAAAGCAGCTGTTAGGATGAGGCGTGTGTACTTACTTTCTGTAAAAAAAAAAAAACAACCACCAAACAAAACCAAAACCACCACACATGCTGAAAAGCATAGAGCATCCCGTCAGTTCTGCAAACTGTCTTTGTAAGGTGCAAGATTCATCACGAAATTAGTATTTCTCTGCGAGCAGTGGCTCGTAAGGAAGAACTATTAGACACAGCAAGCACAGGCAGTGCTGACACAGGTGGCTCCTGCAGTCACGACGGACTCTGCGTATGAGACTGGCCAGGGCCAGGCGACCTGCACATCGCAGCCAACTGATGGTGGCTCTCTAAGATCCCTGCTGAAAGCTGTTCCCAGGCAACACACTTATCTCTAGCTTGCAAATATGTTTTTTTAAAAAATAAGAACTGGGTGCCATTCTCCTGTACAGTTGATGTGTCCTGGAACTTCAGCAACTTACAGTGCAGAGTCAGAACATAATGTGCTGCAGTACCGAACGCCGATCGTGGTCTGTCTGCTGGACCCTGTGGCCCTTCCTACCATTACAGAACTCTGCCTAAAGGACAGATAACATCCTTCTACGGATGCTATCCTCCCTTCTGGCTTTCTGCAAGACTTTTTAGAAGCACTGCTGATATGTTCCAGCAATTCACTCATTCACTTGAGTATGGAACATTTAATTACTTAGTGTAGGGCTTCCATCAGTCAGTCAAGGACTGTGAATCACTCATGTTCTACCAACCAATGACTTAATATAATTAGCCACGGGAAAGGAGCCAGCTTGGACAACTAATAAAAAGAGCTCTGGATATGTTTTCTCTACAGAAAGTGCATGGCTATGAAAGACAGAGATATAAAAGATCTTGCATAGAAAAAGCAAAAAATGTTTTCCTTGACGTTTAGCTTGGACACAGGAAACATCAGCAGTATCCTGACCGAACATAAAAGCTGGCCCTGGAGAAAGCACTCCATGGCTTCAGAAAGTAAAGGTTTGAGAACAGGGACTGACATCTCAAGAGACTCTTGCTTTAGTCTGAATTAGCCTTGATACCTTCTGTGTGGTTAATAGAAGCTGCTTGTTTGCAGATACCTCTGCTCATGTATTTCACAGTCCTTACAGGAATTTTACAGTCAGGCCCCTAGAAGGTGACACAGCAGCCTTGAAGCAAGGCTTGTTTCTTCATCAGTGTTGCAAATGAATGTTGCAGAGCAGCAGCAGCGACCGGTCCTTCAGGAAAGATCCGAGCACGGTTCTGCTCACAGCCTGTCACGGCACGTGCCGTGCCCAACTGGGAGCAGCTGGGATGGGCAGAGGTTTGCCCGGGGCTCGGCCAGTAGCTCTTCTTACCTCGCTCAGAAGCCAAGGGTGGTCCTGGGTGAGTCGTGCCCAGTCAGTGTCTGGAGTGACTCGAGCATACTTGAAACGGTTCTGGATGGCAGAGGACGTGCAGATATACTTGTACAAGAACTCCTTCCCCGTCTGCTCAGAGATGGCTTTGGCTGACATGGCTGCCTAGTCTGAATCGGAGGGGAATAATAAAATAATCAGGAACGGAGTCCAGCTCGCACAGAAAACTCCCAGTCCCCAAGCTCAGTCCAAAACCAAAGCAAATACAGAGCTGGGGCTGTGTATCTCCCTTATAAATACAGCTATAAAGTTCACTAGATAAGCAAGGACTATTCCATGGCGCTTAAAGCCTCGACCCCTGAGCTCAACGCTGCCCTGAACACTATTTTGGTCCAGCTTTCCCGCAGGGAGAGGTGCAATCCTTGCAGCTTGTCCCAGCCACCGCTGTGCCTCCCCCAAACCTGCCAGCTCCGAGCATCCCTCCCACCCTTGCCCAGGGGAGCACTCAGCCAAGGCAGTTTGTCTCAAACGACACAGCACCCCGGGTTCCTTCCTCGTGGGATCCGTGTGGCACCTGCCAGCGCTTCTAGCTCAGTACCAGGGAGTGACAAGGCAACAGGAGAGGAAAATCCTCCCTCCCACTTGTTTTCTTACGGCATGCCCCTTTTCCAGTCTGAGCTTGACTACAGGCAAATTAGCAATCCCCCACACCTCCTTCTTTTAAAGGGAAAAGAAAACCTTGCCAGTATTATCAAAACCAGAACACATTTATATCTTTTTTTTTTTTAGGTTCAGAACCGAGATATCTTGGAAGCAGGTTCACACTCTACAGAATAAGATGCTCAAAAAACCAAAGAAGATTAAGACAAAATAGTTTGGGCTTTTTTTGAGAAAAATAATTTAAAAAAAAAATTCCTATTGTCACACCTTTCCCTGGAGATGGCTTTCTTCTCTTTAAAAAAGTTTATTCTAAACTGACATAAGTAAATGATCTCTGATCTCAAGTCTGTAACTGTTCTTTCTGATATGCAGCAACAAAGTCATACGTGTCAAAGATGCATTTATTTTTAGCTGCAGTAAGCATTTATTTAAAAGATTACTTCCTCCCAATGAAGCTGGCTGCATGTGTCAAACATCAGAACTGTGTCTTGTCATCAGCCAGAGGTCAACAAGTGGTTTTGATTTTTCTGTGGGCTCAGCCTGCTGACAGAGAAGCTCAAGCAGTGGCTCGTGCTGGACTCTGAGTGACTGGGGGTCATGTCACTGTTCCCCAAGCACAGCCCGCGTGGCAGGAAACGCAAAAGCACGCCTAGGGTGGCTTCTGGAAGAGCTGCAAGGTAGAAAGGTACCAACACAGAAAAGAAGAGCTCAGATTCCATCTGAGTCTCTGGACAGAGAAGTACTTGAATGGCTCAGACTGACTAACTGCCCATGCCATCACAGGACATGCGCCTCACTTCAGATCCAGAAAGAGAAACAGTTTTAAATTCCACAGTTCCTTCTTGTGCTGTCTCCTGGGGAATAACCGTTAGGCATCAACTGGGTTTTTCATCCTATAAGCAAGCACAGAATACGCCAGGGAATAATTAGCCATCTTTAGAAATAAAGACCTTTTTCCCCTAGAGGAAGAAGAAAGAGGTTTGGTGTTGTCCCATTCCACCCCCAAACAGATAAAATATTTACTCTGCAGAAGAAAGTAGCACAACTTGCCTCCCACTAAGTACTGGTACTGGAAGCTGTTAACTAGGCTTAAGAACTGCCAGTCAAACCTGCTGCTAACGCCTTTCCAAATGCAATTCAAGGGTTAAAATAGAAAAGGAGAAGCTACAGAAAGGGCAAAAGACGTTAAAAAAAACCAGCCTTGCTGCTTTCAGCAAATTATTATGTGAAACTCCAACGTGACTGCGGTGCAGTTTCCCATTTAATCCCATTTCAAAACAGCATCGGGCAATGTTCTTGAAGCTCCCCGTCTTTCTCCGTACAATCAAAACCCCTTTCTTGGCACCCCAAAAACTTGCACCTAATATTTCAGCCTGCTAAAAATAACCCCGCTTTGTATTACCCCAGTGCCGAAGTCAACACAGCCCAGGGAGAGGGGAGCCCTTGTGGAGCCGGCGGAGGTCGGGCACGTTCCGTGTGCCCGGCGCTGCGAAGCAGGGTACCCATCCCGCTGCTCCCTTCTCCCTGGCAGCCTCCCTCGGCGGCACGGCCCCCGCCGCGGCTGCCGCGGTGGCACTGTTTGCTGAGAGGCATTCCTAAAAGTGTGTGCTTGGAGATGCTGTGGGAGTGGAGCTGTCTCAGAGTCCTGGGGCTACCAGCAGCTATTCTGCAGTAGCTTTACGAGTAATCTAGCACTTCCATTGGGTGCTCCTAATTACAAAAGATGGAGTGACACTGAGCTAATGGAGTTATCTCAAGGCAAGGATTTATACACAACTACTGGGGAACAAGCAACAGCAGCACATACTGGAAGAGGAAGCAGAGTCAGAGAAGGGGAAATGCTGGGTACCAGTGGACTAACCTCAAGGATTTTAGGAGCTGGAAGGCTTACTGCACAACCTTCTTAGGTAGGCTGCAATCTGGCCATCAGCTAAGCACGGACACTGAAGTTGGACAAACGTTCATCTCTCCTTGGCGCTAAACCACCACAGCTTTTTAGAAGGACAGGAATTTTGACTGGAAGGAAAGGGAGGTGAAGAGAGGCAGAGTACGTAACAGTCTCAAGGAGAAGCAACCTGCAACAGGTACGCAGAAGCAGCCAGACACGTTGCAAGGGAGCTGGCAGATGACCTGCACGTTGAATGGGTTGCAGACACGGCTTCCTGTGCTTACAGAGCAACTGGGTATTTGCTGTACAAACTCCTGTTACCAGTTGCAATCCTCTGCCCATCTTTGTCCTGCAAATGCTGCAAAACTGTAGGAGTGTGAACTGTGTTGTAATCTGCATTAAAAATTCAAAGATTAGCAGAGTTGCTTTGACTGCCAACGACCACGATGTAATAGTCTGCAATTGCAGGAAACTGGACACAGGACATCCCTCAGGTCTTACTAAAAACAGTCCTGTAAAAAAACAAAAAGTCAGGGGTAATAACTGTACATGGGATTGCTTAAACCTGAGGGACACAAAGTGCAGGGTGCTCCTACAAGGCATGGCACTGTGGAGCTGCTCATCTCAAACCTTACTGCCCTTCGTGCTGCTACAGCCGGCTGCTCCTCTAGTTTCTCTCTCACTGTCATCTCCTTATTTTTGCAATAGCACTACTGGGGTAAAGAGAAAAGCCTCGAGGACTGTTACAATAGCAGTAGCTGGAAAATGACAAAATCCTTGTGTCATGGCAACAGAAGAGCAGGAA